TAACATGCTTATTGATAGCATATTGTCTATAAAATTTGTTGACGCTGTTACAGGTGCACACACACAGAACCAGGATAGACTTTTGGGCCTTTCTATGTTGAGTTTGCATGTTGTTTCTGTTGGTTTCCAGTTTCTTCCATAGTGCAAAAATTTGCAGTATAAGTGAATTTTGGATAAACTAAATTTGCTGTAGTTTGTGATTAAGATAATGTGTGGTGTTTCCCTGCACTGAGGATTGTACCCTCAGGGCTGTGTTGCAGAAGCATTAGTATCTGATTGCAGACTTGCATATGCAAGCTGAGACACACAGTTTGACATGCAATGTCAGAAACAATGCACTCAAATAGAGCTAGTGACATCAAAGTGAGGGGTAGGGTTAGGAGCGGGGTTAGGTGTGCGCATTAAAATTGGTCAGATTTATTTTTATTATTTTTTGTGTTCTGTAGAATAAGTAAATAAAACTTTGTTTTGTTTACAAAGATCAGCTTATTCACGAACACATTCATGTTATTCACATTCTACTGCTCAGTTCTCTGACATTTTTTTCTATATAGTTATTTTATTCATAAACAAAACATTTATGTCTATTTAATATTCAAATTAAATAAAAAAGAACAATGTTGTATGTGGCATTTAATCAAACAAAATCATTATAAAAATGTAGAATTGCAAAAAATAACACCAAGAAAACAGCACTTTAATTCATTATTATTAGATTATGAATTCATTTGTAAAATTGTTCATTAAAAAGTAGTACTAATAGCAAATTAAATCCACCCAGTAGGTGGCGGTAGGACACTGTCTTAATTCATTCAAATGGAACTGAACAAAACATTAATGGATCAAAACATAATAAATGATGAAACTCATTGCATTTATAGACATTTATAGACATACCAGGTAATATGAAAAAAAAAGAATTTTACTCATGCTGGAACATTTACATATAACATATAAATTTATATTCATAGCAGCCTTAAAGTAAAAATAAATCCATTATTGAGGAAATAAACTGAATTAATATGTGATAAGGTTACAAACATATACTTTCCCGGGTAAGCAATAGCTTATTCCTATTCTTAATAACCTAAAGAATCATTTTCAATCTCAGAAAGTCTTTTTTAGAACATGCAATATTATTATTTTCAGAGAAGGTGTAGCGCTCTCACTGCCTGATGAGGGACAATAATGTTAATAAAACACAGGAAACACAGAACTGCTGCTGCTTCATATCAGTGTTTTGTTTGAGCAGCAAGCCCCTCCCACTCATTAGGTATGCAGTCCACAGGCAGAAGTAGCCAATCGGAAAAATGTAAATCCTTGCATCACATTACATTAATTTACAATATTTATTTTCTATTTTCTACTTCATAAAATGAAAGTGTACAGACTTAGAAAGACAAATTAACTTTGATTTTCAATTTCTAATAATTTGTAACCACTTCAAAGGCTCCCGTTAATTTAAAGTTAAACCGGAACTAAAAATACACAACACGCACTACACCCGATGTGTCACACACGGGCCACATCTGGCCCACATACAGCAGGCCACAACTCACACTACACCCGGTGTGTCACACACGGGCCATATCTGGCCCACATAAGGCAAGCCACAACTCACACTACACCCGGGTGTCACACACGGGCCACATCTGGCCCACATACAGCAGGCCACAACTCACAATACACCCGGTGTGACACATACGGGCCACATCTGGCCCATATGTCTCCTGCCATTGCCAGAAGTGAGCCATATGTGCCTTAGTTGGCCCAGATGTGGCCCAGAACTGTATGCTATCTGGGTGGTAGTTTTGTCTTGCTTGTCCACCAAACATAGACCAGCATCACCAGCAATACTAAGCTGGTAGACAAGCATGACCAGCAAGCCGAAGCTGGTCTACCAGCATAACCAGCTAGACCAAGCTGGTAGACCAGCATGACCAGCAAGACCAAGCTGGTAGACTAGCCTGACCAGCAAGCCGAAGCTGGTCTACCAGCAAGACCAAGCTTATCTACCAGCTTCACCAGCAAGACCAAGCTGGTCTACCAGCATCACCAGCAAGACCAAGCTGGTCTACCAGCATCACCAGCAAGACCAATCTGGTCCACCAGCATCACCAGCAAGACCAAGCTGGTCAACCAGCAAAACCAAGCTGGTCTACCAGCATCACCAGCAAGACCAAGCTGGTAAACCAGCTAAACCAGCATAGACCAGCATGAAAATCATGCTGGTCTTTGCTGGTTTTTTCAGCAGGGTGACAGGTATCACTTGGAGAAAAATAACGTTTTCTCCCCTTATCAAAGTGGATTCAGAAGTGGAAGAGGTACAATGGACTCAGTTATTAATTTAGAAACAGACATTAGGAAAGCGTTAACTAATAAGGAAACAGTAGTGGCAGTTTTCTTTGATATTGAGAAAGCATATGATATGCTATGGAAGGAGGGCCTGTTAATCAAGTTGAACCAAATAGGAATAAGTGGTAGACTATTTAATTGGATTAAAGAGTTTTCAATTGAAAGATATATTAGAGTAAAGCTTGGGAAAGATGTGTCGAGTAGAGGAATTATTGAAAATGGTACTCCACAAGGCAGTGTTATCAACACAATCTCACGACAATTCGTAACTTTTTCATTTAGTGGCTAATTCGTATGAATTCGTACGATCTAATTTGTACAATTTAGTACGATTTGCTTATCCCCCAATGACGGTTGGGGTTAGGGGTGGGGTCAGGTGCCACGCCTCCTTTTTAAAATCGTACCATTTCGTACGACTGAACTCTAAACTGGCAAACTAAACTGGCAAAACGTAAAATACTTACGTTTTCTTGTGAGATCAGGCTGCTGTTTGCAGATGATGGAGCTCTATGGTTAAGAGGCAGAAATGTGGATCATATAGTTAAAAAAATGCAAACAGCATTTAATAAAGTTAAGAACTGGTCAAATAAATGGGGTTTTAAATTTTCAGTGGAAAAAAACAAATATATTTTCTTTACAAATAAAAAAAGTAGTATTGACCTAAAACTGAAAATATATAATATAGAATTAGAACAAGTAAAAATGATTAGGTTTTTAGGTGTTACGCAAGTGCGTATTGGGTTGTTTCTGTGCTACTGTGTGGGTGTGTCTCTCTTTTTCCCTCTCTTGTCCTGGGCTGCGTTTCCCAAAAGCATCGTAAGCCTAAGAAGTTCGTAGAAATGATCGTACGACTGATCTTAATATTACGGTCTGTTTCCCAAAAGCATCGTAACTTAAGTAGCACTTGAAAATCTTAGTGGATCTACGAGTGCTCTGGAGTAATCGTAAAGCCTTAAGTGCATCGTAAGGAGACAGAGTTATGAGGGCACCTGCTGAACACCCGGCAAATTGCACCTACAATTTACTTCTCTTCAAAGTCATTATTCATTTTATTTGTACGTATATCTCTATTCATTTATATTTTCTACACATTACACAATTCAATATACAAATAATAATGAATAAAGAAAAAATAAAAATTACATAATAAATGTTAGAATGAAAAAAAAAATTACACTGTTGTATATGGACATTTCGAGGGTAGTAGGCTACATATGTTGTATTTAACAGAAAATATTTAATGTGATTTAAAGATGACACAAAGAAAGGAGGAACTCAAAAAATGTGTCAATGACTTGCTGGCGTGCCCCAAACCCAGCCATGTATTGAACATGTCTTGGCTGATCATCATGAATTCTCATCTCAACTTCATTCTCTTCCTCCACCTCTTCATCTTCCTCCCTGATGTCCAAGGGCACTCTTGCCCTCACTGCAATGTTGTGCAACATAGCTGTTACTGTTATTACAGCCTCAAATCGCGGTGTTGTGGCTGTAGCCTGAACAATTGAAGATGGAGGCTGGTCTGTTGGACTGTTGGGAGGACTGGGAGATGGTAGCTGTCTGTCAATAGGAGGTGAACCTGATTGCTCTTGTGAACATGATGGACCTGACTCAGGTTCAGGTTGACGCAACCCTTCTCCTCCATGGAGGTCAATCCCACCACAAATCCCATCTGAGGCAGTTGTTCCAAGAATTGACAGTGCCTTTTCTTCTTCTGCTGTAAGAATGGGGGCGTCATTAGGCCCACCACCTGTTTTATTAATTGTTGTCCTCTGCAGTGCCCTTTTTCTTTTAGCTAGGCTTGAAAAGTCCTGCCACTTCTTCCTGACCTCATTCCCTGATCTTTTAATCCCCCTTGTTGCAGTAAGTTTTGTAGCAATATCGTCCCACATTTTTTGTTTTTCTTTATTTGTGTGACTGCCCTTAAACCTGCTGAAAATTATATGTTTTTGTAGCTCCACCTCCTCTAAAATAATATTAATTTCCTCTTTTTGAAAAATGACTTTTCTTTGTTTTTTGGTTTCAGCCATTTTGCTAGTGTCTCCACCCCTAGGTATGTGCTTATTTATATTTTTGTCCTATTAGCAAATGCACATCAGGTGGGGATAATTAGGCTAAACTTTTCAAAAATAAATGTAAGAGCTTATTTATTTATTTATTTATTTACTTATTTATTTATTTTGATGTGAGATAAGCAATTTTTGATAAAGAAATTGATAAATAATTCTACTTAATTAAGGTTTCATATAAATATCGAAAATGATGCTGATGTCATTTCCGGCAAGGACTGTTAGAATTAGTTTTATGCGAGATTGGAGCAAGACAGTGTTTTTACAGTACGACATTTCCAGTTAATTTATGTTTTTAAACTGGCTCAAAATTTTTTTTTTTTTATGTTATTCGAGTTGAATATACATTCACACAAGTAGAAGAAGAATTATATGGATTGCTATAACATGTGCAACAATAACGAGCCATTCTATAGCGTGACATTTCAGCACTTAACAAACGGATAGCGACTCCTAAGTTGCACTTAAAGCTGGGCTACGTGCAATTGTGTTAAGTGCATTTTTGGGAAACGCACGTGAAACAATAACGAACGTTCGCAAAATGACTCGTAGAAAACGCTCTTAAGTGCTAAGATCAATCGTTATCGGGAAACGCAGCCCTGTCCCGTTCCTGTTTCCAGGTTACCCTGCCCTAATTGGACGTGCTGCGTGCGTGCGCTGTGGTTGGTGCTGGGAGAAGTCAGCATCTTTTGAAAAGGAACCGACGGAGTCAGATCGCTGGGGGGAGAGACGGAGAGTTTTTCTAAGAGTGTGGCGTTCGTGTGGAAAACGTATCATAGTGCTTCTGTTTGTTTATGAATTGTGAACAGTAAGGTGTTCTCTCCCTTTTTCCTCTCCCCTCCAATTTTTGTGACTGTCAAATACTGTTTGATAAAGCTGTGAGCTGAGCGCCGTAGGGGCTGAGCGCCATTTACTTTGACACTGATTTTCTCCTGTTTTTTCGTTTAGTTAAGGAGTAAGGGTAGTGTTTGTAATTTATTTTCTTCATTTATTTTTGATTCAGTAGGTAAGTTATCTTCGGGGTGGAGTTAGTAAATGTTTTGTTTGTTATTTTGGCCTTGCTCAGACTTGAAGCTTTTTGTTTGCGCTCATTTATTTGTTTATTGTAAATACAAACCTTTTCCACCTTCTCACAATAAAAGAACCTTAAAGGTCATTTAAAATCAAACCTGCTAACTGTTTATTTATTTTCTCTATAATTTTTATGTTCGACTTCAGCCCTAGACGTTTTTGAGGTCGTAACATAGGTATGTGGTTAGATTCTAGAGCTACATGGAGTAATCACATCAGTAAGATGCAGGAGAAATGCAAAAGAATAATGAGATGTATTTCTGGGCGTGAGTGGGGAGCAGATAGACTAGCTTTAAAAACTATTTATGTAACAATGATCAGAGCAATTCTAGATTATGGTTGTGTGGCATACAGTTCAGCAGCAAAGTCACAATTAGGAAAACTTGAAAGAATACAATCCCAAGCTCTTAGAATTTGTTGCGGAGCATATCCTTCCTCTCCAGTTCCAGCTTTGCAGGTGGAGATGGGGGAAATGCCAATTCAACTAAGAAGGAAACAACTGATATTGACATACTGGGCAAGAACAAAAGGCCAAGAGGTTAATCATCCTGTAAAAACACTAATGGAGGTATGTTGGGAATATGGGAAAAGGAAAATTAATAGCTTTAACTGGATTACTGAGGAATTAGTGCAGGAAATGAAATTAAATGAATATAATATTATACCATCAATAGTTCAACCAACAATACCTTTATGGATATTACCACAACCCAAAATAGACCTCAAATTATTGAAAGACAGACAGAAAAAAGGACAGGAGTTAACAGAGGGATATCTAACAAGCAGGGCCAGAGTGGGACTCCTTTTCAGCCCTGGAGTTTCAAGCCTCAGACCGGCCCACCTCAGCTCACGACTGACTATATTAAAATAAGGTCATTTTCAATTCAGTTTCTAATTACACTATCACGTCTTTTTTTTTGAGAAAACAGCTGCTTTAGAACTTCAAATGTTCAACAACCCAAACAGTATTATATGTCTCAACAATAAAAATGAAATTAATTTACTCAGGCGAGGATCAAACCCGGGTCGGCGACGTTGTAATACCTGCAGGCTGGTTATATATGAATAGAGCAGAGAGCTGTATTAAATTAATGAATAAGAAGACTGTGGTCAAGTAAATAAATAAATTAATTTAAATAGTGTGACTGCTCAGAGCAACGGATTCTGGAGCTAGGGACACCGGCCCTCGCGGCCAAAAAACGGACCGGCCCACCGGGAATTCTCCCGGTCCTCCCGATTAGCCAATCCGGGCCTGCTAACAAGAGAGTATATCGGGACAAAATATGATCAGTATACACACATTTTTACAGATGCATCAAAAGATCCGCAAAGTGGGCGGGTGGGGATCGCATATGTTATTCCAAGTTTAGATGTGTTAGAAGGGAAAAGAATATCTAATCATTTGTCAGTATTTACAGGAGAGCTGCTAGCAATTATGCTAGCAGTCAACAAAGTTTATGAAATGGATCTAAACAAGTCGATAATATGTTCTGATTCAACTTCAGCGTTACTATGCCTGGATATTTAAAAATCGGAAACGAGGCAGGACATTATAATAGAAATTCTTCAATTATTACAAAATTTAGAACAGAAAAACAAAATAGTTGAGTTTGTATGGGTACCAGCACATTCAGGAGTTGAGGGCAATGAAGCAGCAGATAGATTAGCAAAAACAGTAATGGCAAAAGAGAGGATAGAAATGAAAATCAGGTATAGTAGGGCTGAACTTAAATCAGTAATTAAAAAGGGAATACACAAAAAGTGGCAAATAAGTTGGGACAATAACCAAAAAGGCAGACATTTATATGCAATACAACCAAAGGTAGGACAGATTTTGAATTCATGGGGGAGCAGGAAGGAGGATTGTATTCTTTCAAGAATAAGGATAGGACATACAGGGCTGAACGCTACATTACACATGATAGGAAAACATCCAACAGGGTTGTGTGATGGATGCGTATGGAGCAAAATCAATGCCAAAAGTCTTGAATTAAAAAGCCTGTTGAATAGCACAAACTGAAAAAAATAATATACCGTAATAACAAGTTCTTGGGTTTGTATTTTTAGGTCATGAAATTTAACATATCTGTTTATTTAAGCTGTGAATTTTTCAACGAAAAATATTTAAAACACGTTTTCATACTTAAAAATTCAATAATTCATATTCAATTTCCAGATTTCACTTACAAAATATTCAATACCCTTTAAAAATACGATGTATAATATTCAAAAGGCAATTTTCAGTTAATTTAATTTCAGTTCAAATATTCGCTTCCATAAATTCAGTGGATCAAATTCGACTGTTAAAATTCAACATTACATCCGGGAACTGCAGGAAAAGCAATAGATTGCAGAGTGAAGATCGCCAGCTGCTCTAGCTTTCACCAGCAGGTGGAGATGGAATAATGTAAGATTTTTAACCCAGTAAACAAGCGAGAAAAAGGCTAATAAAGGCACAAAAGTAGCATTTAATATTAATATCAATGTCTTGGACATTATAAGTAATAAAAGGAGTATGAGTAAAATGATTAAATGATGTTTTGGTCATATTTGCCCTTATGTAATGGAAGCCTGCTGGTGATCGCGTAAATATTTAAAAAATTTCAGAACCTAAAAATACAAACCCTGGAATTCAAGTCATTAAAATGCAACAACTTGTTAATACTGTGTATTATTTTTTTCAGTTTGTGCTATTCAACAGGCTTTTTAATTCAAGACTTTTGGCATTGATTTTGTTCCATAGTAGCGGAAAGAGAGAGACAGTAGAACATGTAATCATAAGTTGCAATAAATACACAGAGGAAAGAAATATGTTAATTAATGACCGACAGATAAATGATGAACAAATAACACTGAAAGAGTTTTTATATCAGGAAGGAAAGAAATGGTTGATTCAATTCTTAAAAATAACTCAGTTAATACATAGGCTATAGAATGTCTAAATATATTTATTTAATTAACTTAATTATTATTTTATTTATAACAATATTAAGCTTTCTCCTCTCTTCTACTATGTTTTTCTGTAGATGGAGGAGCTGAACACGCAGCAACATCGAAGGCTCGGGTTTTGAAGAGTCAAGAGGTAAAAAATAAATAAATAAATAAATAAATAAAATAAAAATAAGAGAGTCTCTGATCCATAACCCGCAGTAGGTGGCGGTAATGCTCTGATAAGAATGCGAACCGCCAATAAACACCAGGAAGAAGAAGAAGAAGAAAGTGCCTGCCTTGTAAAGAACGGTAAAAATACTCAAATGGATTGACAATTATGACGAGCTTCGACAGAAGCTTCACTTTGCTTTATCTTTGTCTCTTCCATGTGATTATGTCTTCATTTCGAGCAGGTAAATTATCAAGTTTAACAACTTTTAAAAACGCAAGTGAAAGTAACTCGCTTACTTGTTGATTTTTACAAATATATCCCAGGTGCCGTTTAACAGAGGTATGATTTTAGAGATAAAACTCATTTTTAAACACATTAGTTATAATAACTGATTACCTTTGTCTTTGCCACGATTACCCTGCTGAAAAATCTAGCTTAAACCTGCCTAGGCTGGTTGGCTGGTTTTAGCTGGTCGACCAGGCTGGTTTTAGAGGGTTTTGGCCACTTCCTGTTTTAAGCCTGTTTTAAGCTGGACATAGCTGGTTTTGGCTGGATTAAGCTGGTTATATAATTATAATGCATAATCTTTTACAAGTTATTTTTCAAGATGCTATCAGCTTAAAGTGCAGTTTAAAGGCATTGATTTAGTCATTGGAGGCATGTCATTGGACAGTGGTTTGTTCTGTGATTTTAAGGAAATTATACTTTTTTTAAATAAAAAAAGCTTTTATACCAGCTTTTAAACTCAAAGACTTAAGACCTTCTCCAGAAGAAACAATATTATTATAAATACGTATCCTTGCTCTGTTAAACAGCTCTTAGGAAATATTTACAATTTAACCGGAGAAGGGGAAATTTATTTGCAATCTTTGTCATTTTAACTAAATCGATTAGGGCTGCACAAAATTGGGAGAATGCTATAAACAATACAAATTGTTGTTAAGTATTGCATTAATGAAATTTTTTGTGCTTACTTTACATAGAGAAATTCTATTTTTGTCAAATCAAAAAAAAAAAAAAAGTATACTACAATATTTTAAAGATACAAAATAATAAACCCACAAAAGTTTACAAAAGTGCTAGAAGTTCGCTGGTTCGAGTCCAGGCTGGGCCAGTTGGCATTTCTGTGTGGAGTTTGGGTTGCAGCTGTAATACATATGTCGGATTAGTCGGCTGTGCTTTCACATCTAGACATCTGATATACAGCAATGTATGAATCACATATTTAAAATACAAGTTCATGTTATGATTTAAGATATTAATGTATTCGTCATATGTAACATATATTTAAAATATGAAAGAGTGGATGTTTTTACAGTTGAAGTTAAACAGTTAATCATAATAGTGTTAATAACTCATCTCTAATAACTGATTTATTTTCTCTCTGTCATGGTGACAGTAAATAATATTAGACTAGATATTCTTCAAGACACTTCTATACAGCTTAAAGTCACATTTAAAGGCTTCACTAGGGTAATTAGGCAAGTTAGTGTATATCGATGGTTTGTTCTGTGGACTATAGAAAGCAAAAATTTACTTTAAGGGGCGAATAATATTGACCTTAAAATAGTGTTTAAAAAATTAAAAGCTGCTTTTATTCTAGCCGAAATAAAACAAATAAGACTTTCTCCAGAAGAACAAATATTATCAGACATACTGTGAACATTTCCTGAATTTGTTAAACATCATTTGGGCAATATTTAAAAAAGAAAAAAACAATTTATTAATTCCAAAATAATAATTCCAATAGTATATTGATGCAGCCTTTATGATGCAAGCTGAGACTGCATCAATCAGCGATGCAATGTCAGACACAATGCACTCAAATGGAGCTAGTGACATCACTGTGAGGGGTGGGGTTAGGAGAGCCCATTAAAAAGCATTGGATGCAGCCTAGATTGCACTGCATCAGGTCTGCAGCCAGAACCCTCTCAATAATTCTGACTTCAACTGTGTATGAATATGACAGAATGGCTGTGCCATGAACAGTGTGAGGACTGAGCAACACAAAAGGTTATGAGCAGCGCTGCTTATAGCCTCTGTTTCATTTTGCACAAACTGCAATAGTCTGTTCCATGCAAAAGAAACACAGTGTTGTGAGAGCTAAAGCATGTTTAATAGTGAAATCAGTCAACCACCACATCCCTATTATTAAGAATTCCTTACGTTTATGAGAAGGGTTAAGAGGCCATGATGGACAGAGGGAAACTTAGGCCAGGATGCCGGGGACGGAGTCCTCTCTTCACACACCCAATCTTTTCAAAGGATATCCTGAGATATTTAACGAGCACAGAGAGTCAGGACCTCGGTTTAACGTCTCATCTGAAAGATGACACACACTGAGCAGTATAGTGTCCCCTTCACTATACTGGGGCATTAGGATTAGGACTCACACAGACCGCAGGTTGGGCGCCCCCTACTGGCCTCTCTAACACCACTTCCAACAGCAACCTCGTTTTCCCATGTGGTCTCCCATCCAGACACTTTCCAGGTACTAGCTTTAGTGGACGACCATGTGAGATGAAAACATGTTAACCAGTGGTCACCAAACCTGTTCCTGGAGGGTCGGTGTCCTGCAGATTTTAGCTCCAACCCTAATCAAACACATCTGAACAAGCTGATCAAGCTCTTACAAGGTATACTTGACACATCCAGGCAGGTGTGTTGAGGCAAGTTGGAGCTAAACCCTGCAGGGACACCGGCCCTCCAGGACCAAGATTGGTGACCCCCGATGTAAACCTTCACATGTAGAGGTCGTGCGATGGTGCCATGTGCTCTTCACACATGAAGCAGGTTCACACTGAATATATGTGACAGAGTCTGGAGATGCCATAGAGAACCATTTGCATGACCGGTTTGGCAGTGGGTTAGTAATGGTGTGGGGTGGCACGTGCTTGCCAGAGGTAGCCCAGGTGATGTGGGGAGGTCAGACATGCGGAGGCCACACACACATATTCACACTACTGAGCCTCATTTTGACTTGTTTTAAGGACATTACGTTGAAGTTGGATCAGCCTGTAGTGTGTTTTTCCACTGCAATTTTGAGCGTGACTCCAAATCTAGACGTCTATAGGTTCATAAATTTGATTTCTATTGATGGTTGAATGTGCTGACAACAAATCACACAACGCTTATGTAACGAACAAAGTATTTAATTCAAATATTTAGTTCATTCAGATCTAGGATGGTGTTATTTTAGTGTTCTCTTTATTTTTTGACAATGGATAATAATACCTATATTCAAGCTTTTCCAAATATGAGTGCATATAAGGTTTGGATAAAAATAATTGATAAATAAAGAAAGAAAGAAAGAAATGTAAATCTCCAAGTAGCCTGCACTTTATGATCAGATCTTTTAAGCAGAGATGTTTGAGACTGTTTAATATGCTTCACTAAGCTCTAGTTTTAACTGCTTTTAACATCACTGTTATGTTTTTTAGATGTTATTAATACACTAAGGGTAGTTTGACATAGCATATACTATTTATATGCCCATACTACCAGTGAAAACAAGTAAAAATATTGCACAGTGAAAGAAAAACATATTTACAATGTATAAATGAACCTGATGGAGAGGAGGTATTCAAAGGTGCTTAACTAAAAGAAAGAAATATAATAAAACTTACTAGCTGTATTATGTGAAGTTTTTTAACTAATTTCGATGTGAAATTATGATGTGATTAGCCGCATTTCCACTATCGCGCCTAAAGCGAGCGAGCCAAGGTCAGTCGCGTTTCCACTGTCTCTTCCAGGGCCTAATCGGGCCAAATCGGGGCTTACTCCACCTTTTTTGCAGAATACCTTGGGCAAAAGAGGGCCAAATGGGGCTTCGAGGCGAAGTGAAAGGAGAGGCGGACACTAGTTTTCTGATCGCTCAAGAGTAAATGCACCAAACACATAAATAAATAAATAAATAAATAAATAAATAAGAAAAAGAAAACATCTGACCTTATAGTCTGGGGTCTTTTTGGTTATGATCACCCCTATGTTTCCCTTTTAAATGTTAGGCTGCTGCCTAAAATAAAAGTTTTAATTTATAGTGACGTTCTTTGCTGCGTCCTCCTTGATGTTTCAGTAACGCATAATAATCATTACACCATATTAAACACACAGCAGACAATAAAGGTTTTCAAGAGTTTTTGTCAAGTTTAAAAGGTGTGTTTGTGCGGGTTTACATGCCTGTGTGTGTGTGTGTGTGAGACCGAGCAAAAGAGCGCTCCCTTCACAGCTCTGTTGATGCCGCGAGCGGCTTCTTTCTTTTTTCTCTATTTTGCAGATAATACACAATATAAATACAGGAAGACATGAAACTTAACAAATGACGTGTCACCTTTTGTAGGCTCTAAACAATAGTGTCATATCTTCATAAAATAGCCTAAGCTATATTGAAAACATTTAAAGAATTGCAAATATCATATAATAAAATCACATTAAATAAATAAACCATTGTAAAACTTACAAAACAACTTATGTACAGTTGAAGTCAGAATTATTAGCCCCCTTCAATTATTAGACCGCTTGTTTATTTTTTACCCAATTTGTGTTGAACAGAGAGCAGATTTTTACAGCACATTTATTAACATAATAGTTTTATTAACTCATTTTTAATAAGGAATTCATTTTATCTTTGTCATGATGAAAGTAAATAATGTTTGATATCACTTCTATACAGCTTAAAGTCACATTTAAAGGCTTCACTAGGGTAATTAGTGTAACTAGGCAGGTTAAGTAAGGTTAATTAGTTAAGTTAGTGTATATCGATGGTTTGTTTTGTAGACTATGGAGAAAAAATTAGCTTAAAGGGGCTAATAATTTTTTCCTTAAAATAGTGTTTAAAAAATTAAAAAATTTTAATATTTCAACGGATCCGCAGCTCAATTCGGATCCGAATTTTCCGCATACGGAGATGATCGGAGCTCAACGCAGCTCCCGGACTGCTCTCCATTGGAAATGAATGACTTCCGGTCTGTCACTTGTCAACTGTCGTGTGCAGTGGAAAGGCGGCTTAAGGGGTAGAATTGGGATTAGGCCTTAGATAAGGGTATTGATCACGAAACAAAATGAAAAAAAAAATTCTCTAATACTTGTCCACACAAGAGAGACTGTCCTCACACAGTGCCATTCACAGAGAGAGAGAGAGAGAGATCGATCGCTATTGCAGATTAGGTCGACTTTTTAAACACTACACCAACCAGCGATTGGTGGCGCAATCCCAGCATCAGCCGCCAAAGTTATCAGCATGAAATACGGATCCTCCAATGCCATTTGCACCTGAAACACCCACATAAAACAACACACTCACACTCAAACAGAAGCACACACACATATCCCATAACAAAGTGCGTTCTGCATGGGAATGTAACATTCGCAAATGTCACTTTTATGTTTATACTTGAGTGCATTGCCAGTATTCATTCATTCATGCATTCTGTGCACCACCACCATCCACCGGCCTAGAGTGTGAACTAAATATCTATATTTCTCAATTCATTCATTCATTCATTTTCCTTCGGCTTAGTCCCTTTATTAATCTGGGGTCGCCACGGAGGAATGAACCGTCAACTTATCTAACAGTATATGTTTTACGCAGTGGATGCCCTTCCAGCTGCAACCCATCACTGGAAAACATCCACACACACTCATACACTCATATACAGACAAATTAAACTACCCAATTCCCCTATAGCGCATGTGTTTGGACTGTGAGGGAAACCGGAGCACCCAGAGGAAACCCACACCAACACAGGGATAACATGCAAACTCCACACAGAAACACCAATAATACTAATAACACCAAATAATATTAATAATTATTTGCTCTTAATTTTCAGAAAAGCACTCTCTGTATTTTATCTACACGGGTTTGTCCAGACCTGTGGATCTGCCGGGCATCTATGAGTTCTCTGCTATGGGTCTGTTAGATGACAGACAGATTGACTCTTATAACAGCGAAGAGCAGAGAAATATTCCCAAACAGCAGTGGATGAAGGAGAAAATGCAGGAGGATTACTGGGAGAACCGCACTCAGTCGAGAAAAGAAAAACAACTGTGGTTTTATGATAACGTCCACTTACTGATCGACCGCAATAGACAGAGTACATCAGGTGAGCAACATTGTTTTAAACAGTTTTTTATCATTAATAATAATCTTACTGTTACAACCTGCCTCAAAATCATAACATATAGAGGACACATCACAAATTAGATTTTAACAAAAAATGTTTATTTAATTTTAATCAATTATGTCTAGGGCATACGTGCCAACACTCCTATTTTTCCTGTGAGCCACTCGTATTTCACACCCATCTCCCGCCACCTTCTGGTTTTGTTATTTCTCCTGAAAAACTCCCATAACTCCACCAACATCAACACCCGAACAACATTTAAAAACAGTAGGCTATACAAGAAGTACATGGATGACCTACTACTTCTGGAGAGATTCTGAAGTACAGTGTGTGTGTGTGTGTGTGTGTGTGTGTGTGTGTGTGTGTGTGTGTGTGTGTGTGTGTGTGTGTGTGTGTGTGTGTGTGTGTGTGTGTGTGTGTGTGTGTGTGTGTGGTCTAAACAAAAAGAAAGAAAAATATGCACGAAGAAGTAGAAAATAATTATACACAGCACTAAACTGCAATATACAATCAACACTCTTTTACATCAGTATTAAATATATCGACAAACTTTTAACATAATTAGGCGGAAACATAACAGTAAACATGAAATCACATCAAGACTGAACACACATCTGTTTAGCTGTGCCTTTACTGAATGAGCACTGTGCTACGCCTGACAGATCGCACTATTGTGACTTTTTTTTGTCATTCTTTTATAACCTTTTTTAACATTTTAGTCGGTTTTTATCACTTTTATTATTTGTTTTCATGTTTTTATACTTGTTTTGTTTATTCTTCTTTATGTAAAGCACTTTGAATGGTCACTTTCCCTAATGGAGTGTCTGTCATTGAGGCTACAGTTAAAGGCCTTTCCGATACTCTTTACTGGTCGCTCAGTGACTGATGGGATTTGATGTTGTCCCAGCCTGAAGCGGAACTCATCTCTGACTTTCCCCTACTTAAGCACCAAGGATCTAGATTGTGCAGGTTTAAAGCTCATGCGTGCCTATGCCACAAGCCTCTCCAACCCTTGGGGGATCCATCTTGCTCCTGGTACCGCCGTTGTTGTCACTTATCCAGGAAGCCTCTGATGGGAGGTTGCCTTACTCCTGACTTGTGAGGGGACCTCAGCACTCTGTCTCAATTGCTTTGACCATCATGTTCATTGCCAGTGCAAAGAGGGTCACTGAGATGGTGCAACCAGTGATTATCCCTACCTCAAGCTGCTGCCAATCTAATGTTAACTGACCATAGGAGACTCTTAAGCTGAACTTGTTGTAATAGTCCATGATGAGGTCTTTTACCTTCTGGGGTACGTGATTTTTCTCTTGTGCGACCTCCACCAGCTTGTGGGATATTGAGCTATAGGCAGTGGTGAGATCCGACCACAACAGAGCCAGGTCCCCCCTGCCTTCTCTTGCCTCCTTATTGAGCTGATTTATCATGCCTGTGTGTTCCAGGCAACCTGGGACTCCTGGTATACCTCCCTTCTGCACAGACGTGTCGATGTATTTATTGCTCAAGGAAGTTGAAGAGTCTTTTGGCCACAATGCTGAATAATATTTAGCTCTCCACACTTAGCAATGTCATGAATCTGGTTTGTTAATTGTCTATCTTTTCCCTTCTGTGTCTTCCCGTACCAGCTGTCAGCGCTTGCAATCAGCGCGAGCTCTGATCAGCAGTCACCTGTTCCTGCTTTGTCATTATTGACACCCCTATATCTACCTCCCTTATTTCTCCTCCTGTTGTCAGATTATTGTTACTCTGTGCGTTTGTTCTCCGTGTAGTTTGTGCATCATTTGTCTTGTCTCGTCAAGTCTCCCCGTTATTCATCCCTCCTGTGTTCATCGTTTCATGTTGAGTGCCGCAGCTTGCTTGACTATGCACAGACCATCAGCACCCGGAGTTCAGTGTTTCCCGCATCGCTGTGGTGGGCACAGACCTATCGGCTCACTTCCTCTCTCACCCCGGCCGGGGGTTTGCCTTTTGAGTTGGCTTAGAAGAACCGGATCCGTGTGATTCATTTGAATTACTGACAGACTGCCTTTGTTGAACTATTAATAAACATTGATTGAACTGCACAAACCTCTCCTTTGATTCTGTTCCGTGACAGAATAATCTGACCAAAACGATGGAGGTGGCTGAGAGAGGCTCCATACACTTCGCGGTCGTACACCAGGGAGCAATGCTCGGCTGCCACGATGAAAAACTCTCTGCCACCAGACTTGCCGTGGACAGTCTGTCTGCACAGGTAACGGAGCTTACCAACCAGCTGCACAGATTTTGCCATGGGGGTCCATCTAATGCTGAACAGCCGATGTCTGAGCCCCGAGTGAACAACCCCCCACGTTATACGAGTCAACCCTCTGAGTGTCGGTCTTTTTTGACCCAGTGTGAGGTAGTGTTCTCGCTACAGCCATCTACCTATGCCACCAATCGCTCCCGAGTGGCATTTATTCTCTCTCTGCTCACTGGACAGGCGAGAGAATGGGGAGCCGCCGTATGGGAGGCTGAATCTGACTGCTGCTCTCACTACGCCTCTTTTAAGGAGGAGATGTTGAAAGTGTTCGGCCGATCCGTGCTGGGGAGAGAGGCTTCCCGTCAGCTCGCAGCGCTCCGCCAAGGGGGTCGATCCGCGGCTGACTTTGCCATCCAGTTCCGCACCCTGGCGGCCACCAGTGAATGGAACGAGCCAGCCCTTGTCGCTCGTTTTTTGGATGGTCTCTCCTCCGAGTTGAAGGAGGAGCTCTATTTCCATCGAACTACCCTATTCTCTGGACTCCCTTATAGAGAGGGCGATTCGTCTGGATAAGCGATTGGAGTTGCGTCACCATTCCAGAGGTTCATCTGAGGAGAGGAGGATGCCTGCTTTCTCTTGTTTGCCCGCTCCCACCCCCCCTCCGGAGCCCATGGAAGTGGGTGGTCTACATCTCTCTACTGCTGAACGTCAACGCCGCCTGACCAACAGGCTCTGCATGTACTGTGGGGCCGCTGATCATTTCTTCGGCAAGTGCCCGATAAAAGGGGCAAGCTCGCCAGTAGACCGAGGGGTTCTGGCGAGCACGATCTCCTTATCCCCCACTCCACTGCGGCGAACCACTCTCCCTGTTGTACTGCGACATGGTGGCACCTCCACTTCCTGCGAGGCGTTTATTGACTCAGGAGCCGAAGGGAACTTCATGGACGAGACGTGGGCATTACGTCATAGTATTCCCTCCGTCGAGATGGACAAGCCACCTCCGGTGTACGCACTCAATGGACAACTCTTGCACCAGGTTCGACGTATAACCATACCTGTGAGTCTCACTGTCTCTGGAAATCATCAAGAAACAATAAGATTTTATTTATTTGACTCTGTCCTCTCTCCATTAATACTCGGCCACCCCTGGCTATCTAAACATAATCCCCACATAGTCTGGTCCGATGGTACTGTTATGTCATGGAGTCTTACCTGTCATGATAAATGTCTTGTCTCTGCTGTTCCTTCTGTCTCCTCTGTCTCTGTGTTGCAGGATGAACCAGGTGATCTTTCGGGCGTGCCAGAGGAGTTTCACGATCTGCGAGCGGTCTTCAGTCGTTCCCGGGCCGTCTCTCTTCCTCCTCACCGACCTTATGACTGTAGCTTCGATCTCGTTCCAGGTAGTACTCCCCCTAGGCGGCGATTGTATTCCCTATCTAAGCCTGAGCACGAAGCCCTTGAGCAATATCTCTCCGAATCACTCGCAGCTGGCACCATAGTTCCCTCCACGTCGCCCGCTGGTGCTGGTTTCTTTTTTGTTAAGAAAAAAGATGGCTCGCTGCGCCCGTGTATTGACTATCGAGGTCTTAACAGTATAACCATTAAGAATTGCTATCCGCTGCCCCTCCTGGCATCCGCTTTTGAAGTCTTACAGGGTGCTAAGGTTTTCACTAAATTAGACCTTCGCAACGCGTATCATTTGGTCCGTATCAAGGCCGGGCATGAGTGGAAGACCGGGTTTAATATGCCGCTCGGTCACTTAGAATATAGGGTCCTTCCCTTCGGGCTGGTAAATGCCCCTTCTGTATTCCAAGCCCTCGTTAATGACGTACTTAGAGACATGCTTAACATCTTCGTTTTGGTCTACCTTGACGACATCTTAATCTTTTCCCCTTCGCTCGAGACCCATAACCATCACGTTCGCCGCGTACTACAACGCCTGTTAGAGAATCGACTGTTCGTAAAAGCGGAAAAATGTATTTTCCATGCGGACTCGGTTCCGTTTCTAGGCTATATAGTCTCCGCCGAGGGTATTAGCATAGACCCAGCCAAACAAAGCTTGACTTTACCATCTCTTATCGTCCGGGTTCAAAAAACGTCAAACCAGATGCGCTATCACGTCTGTTCAACCCCTCTGATAACGACTCCACCCCAGAACCCATTCTGGCTAAAGGCTGTGTTGTCTGAGCTTTAGCCTGGGGAATCAAACGTAAGGTTCAACGGGCTCTCACACGGGTTACAACCCCCCAGAGATGCCCCGAGAATAAATTATTCGTCCCCAAATCTCTACGTCCGGCTGTGCTCCGCTGGGCACACGCTTCCAAATTAGTAGCCCACCCGGGGGTTAAAGGCACCCTAACCGCGATCCGTCAACATTTCTGGTGGCCGTCTATGATACGCGACACGCGTTCTTATGTCATGTCCTGCCCAGTTTGCGCTCAATCTAAGAGTAGTAACCTTCCTCCCTCCGGTCTCCGCAGAACTTTACCCATTCCCTCCCGCCCGTGGTCTCACATCGCCTTAGACTTCGTTACTGGGTTACCACCTTCAGCGAACAATACCATTATCCTTACAGTAGTCGATCGCTTCTCGAAATCCGCTCATTTTATTCCCGCTCCCAAACTCCCCTCTGCGAAAGAAACTGCCGTACTGGTTTTCAAACATGTCTTTAGAATCCATGGTCTACCAGTAGACATGGTCTCTGACAGAGGTCTGCAATTCACTTCGTGTTTCTGGCGAGAATTCTGCCGACAGATAGGGGCTACAGCCAGTCTGTCATCAGGCTTTCACCCTCAAACTAATGGGCAAGCGGAACACGTGAATCAAATTCTCGGTCGCCTCCTCCGCACCTTAGCAGCGCGGAATCCCTCCTCGTGGAGGGCTGGGCTGAATACGCGTAAAACTCCACTCCAACGTCATCAACTGGGCTTTCTCCTTTCCACAGTTGTCTGGGTTACCAACCTCCGCTATTCTCCCACCAAGAGCGGGAGGCGTCAGTCCCTTCAGTACAGGCGTACATTAGTCGCTGCCGTAAAACTTGGAAGACCGTACACTCCACATTATAAAAATCCCGAGAAAACACCCGTCGCAACGCTAATCATCAACCCCATCAAGACTCCTAGATACATTCGCGGCCAAAGAGTCTGGCTTTCCACCCGCCACCTTCCCCTCCAGTCCCAATCACGCAAACTAGCTCCCAAATTTATTGGTCCTTATACCATTATCAAGATCATCAATCTCGCTGCGGTTCAACTGCGCTTACCTCATTTGCTTTGTCGCATCCACCCGATATTCCATGTTTCGTGTGTTAAACCTGTCGTCCGCGCTTCCAACCACCCAACCCCTGCCTCCGCTCCTATCCTTATTGACGACGTTCCTGCTTATAAAGTCAAGAAGATCTTAGCTTCCCGCCGTCGCGGACGTGGTATTCAGTATCTGATTGACTGGAAGGGCTATGGCCCGGAGGAGAGAAGTTGGGTCCTGGCTCGGGACATCCTGGATTGCTCGCTCATCGATGACTTCTCTCACTCGTGCCAGTCAACTTCTCTGGGAGCGCTCCTCGGAGGAGGGGTTCTGTCATGAATCTGGTTTGTTAATTGTCTATCTTTTGAGTTTGCTTAGAAGAACCGGATCCGCGTGATTCATTTGAATTACTGACAGACTGCCTTTGTTGAACTATTAATAAACATTGATTGAACTGCACAAACCTCTCCTTTGATTCTGTTCCGTGACAAGCAAGGAGATGATCCGAAACTGATCGATGTTCTCAGACTTCTCTTCTTTTTGGGATGTACACTCCCTCCGCATACCTCTATGCCTGTGCAATCTTCCCTCTTCTCCATATGACTTTTAGGGCCTTCCAGAGCCTGTGTAGAAGCTTTGGGCAGGTCTTATATATCTTGTAAGGCACTCCGGTCAGGCCTGGTGCTGAGCTTGACCTTGCTCTCCTCACCACTTCCTCTACTTCACTCCGGCAGGGTACCTTTAGGTTGAACTCTGATGTGGGCTCAGGTGGTGTGAGCAGTGCATCGCAAGGCCCCAGCGGTCGTTCTCTGATAGGGTCAGAATAAGTGGCCTTGAGGTGGTAGTTGATAGCCTGTTTGGAGCAGGTGAGTTGGCCAGTCCTCTTTTGGCCAAGGAGCTGCTTAGTCAACTTGAAAGGCTTGGCCAAAAATGCTGCCCTTTTCCTTGCTCTCTCTCTCTCTGCCTCTTCCTGTGAAACTCTGCCCTACAAAGGTTCACAAGTTGTTTCCTCAGGATTCCTCTAATTTAACTTTAGATACAGTGCATCCGGAAAGTATTGATGGCGCTTCACTTTTGCACATTTGTTTATGTTCCATTAAGGTGGTCCCTCTGCTCACTGGTGGAGGTGACTGGAAATAGGTGTCTCTGAGGTGAGTTTTCCTCAGCGCTTTAGAAAGCTCTTCCACCGTTGGGGGATTATTAGGCAGTGGCCAGAAAGGAGGCAATATTTAAACAACATCAGGGCTTACTTCAGATGTCGGCTGTCCCTTCTCCACTGATTGCAGGATTTGGGTCCAGGGTGTCTGAGGTCATGATGATGCTTGTGAGGAGGGGCTGGATGTTTGAAGGCTACAGTGTAGCAGGACTTTCTCCAAGAGCTCTGTTTGGCGCCTTGTAGTCTCACTTTGCTGTTTTGTTATCTCCATCTTCTGCATGAAGTCCTTAGATGAACCAGCAGTTCCATATTGTTGACTAGAAGTGATGGGTTAAGGTCATTATTGCCCTCATTATGTCTAACTGCATGGCTAGATGGATTCCCATCATAATTGACTATGTAGTCATCTAAGTAGGCAGGTCTGCGGATCACTCTGTGTGGATGAAGCAGGAGCTGACTTTGGGGTTGCCATGGTAACAACCAGCTCTATAGGTATCCTCTCTATAGGAGTCTATTGGACATAGGCAAAAGAAAGTAAAAAAAAAAAGGAGGAAATTGTGCAGGGCTGTAACAAATGTATGCTTCTGTGCATTTCAGTTCTTCATGTTCTTCAGTGGAGACATGGCTGTGAAGTTGAGAAACAGGGAAATGAACATAGTTTTAACAAATCTATTGATGAGTATGGCTATGATGGAGAAGACTTCCTGTATTATGATGATGCAGAGTCTCGGTGGGTCGCCCCAGTGGAAGAAGCGCTGCCAACCAAGAGAAAATGGGACAATTTGCCCATCCTGAACCAATACACCAAAGACTACCTGGAGAAAGAGTGTGTGGACTGGCTCAACAAATTCAGAGAGTATGCAGATGAAGAGCTCAGAAAAGCCTGTGAGTAAATGTGCTTGTGCTTATTTTATGATCTTACAGTAGATGAAACTGTCTGATGGTCTGATTGCTGTGATTTCAGCTCCTCCAGATGTTTTTAAATTGACAAGAAAGTCCACCAAGGATGAAACTAAGCTGAAACTCACCTGTCTGGCCACTGGCTTCTACCCCAACGACGTGATGTTGAACATTAGGAGATATCGCGTATATCTGCCTGAACAAGAGACCATATCTACAGGAGTTCGACCAAACCATGATCAAACCTTCCAGCTGAGCAAGAGTGTGGAGATCAAGGAGGACCAGATAGATAATTATGATTGTTCTGTGTCCCACAGAACCTTCAAACAACCAATTATCATAAAATGGGGTAATTGAAGTAGTTCCTATGCTGAGTTTTGTCCTTGTCCTTATTAGACATAATAAGGTGAAAACCCTGAAAAATTATTATAAAAATAAACAATTCATTTTAAAAATGACCCATCACTACAATGTTTCTGTTGAATGTCTAAATTGTATGCTCCTGTTCCTGCCATGTTCAACCCCTGTCAAAGTTTACACAGGAACAGAAACAGCAGTGAAGTGTAGAATAATAAGAAATGTTTTGTTTTTTTCCTACTTTTTTTAGATGGAACAGATTTAGATGGAATATACACCGGCCACCCACCAGAGACTGTCCCAGTTGTGATCGGAAGTGTGCTTATTTTTTTAGCCATTTTAGGCGTAGTGGTTTTTCTGGTGATGAAATGTGGTGGTGAGTATTTCATGATCTGTGATATCTTGATTATGTGTGTTATATATCATCTTCTATGTCCAGAAATCTTGTCTGATAGGAATCAATGGATGATTTTGGCCCAAAACTCCAAAAAAAAAAATTTCAAAAATGATTTATTAATGCTTTATTAAAAAGTAATAAGCACACTCTGAAAATTTATTTTGACATAACATATTACTCACACTGGATAATGTTTTTTTTAATTTCACTAAAGTTATTTGAAACATTAAAGTAAACAAACTTATTTTGAATTGAATATGCTGTTTACAGGATGTCAGTGTCATGTTAATTCAAAAAACATTTGACCTGTTACACAAATTCTAGCAATTAATCTTAAAGTATTTAATATTTTATTAGAGTAATCGGTGTCTTAAACTGAATGTCTTCATAATTAATATTTTGCAACAAAATATACAATAATAGATACAGTGGCGTAGCGCAAAATGCGGAGGCCCCCCGGCAGGGATCACTGACGGGGCCCCCAGTCGAAGGTGGGGGGGGGGGGGGGGGGGTGCTTATACTGAGATATACACACATATATCTATGATCGGGAGTTTTCCTGGATGTTAGTATGCAATTTTTTTAATGAAAATTATAATTTTACATCACTTTTCTACATTGATGGATCACTGATCGCACGGGCATTCCTGACTAAAAGCTTGTGTTTGTGTGTACAGAAATGTACTATCCACCCTCGCTGTTAAATTTGATCTAATCATGTCCTGAAACACAGCTCCTCTCCTGCTTTCACTTCTCATACTGACGGAGGGAGCGATTCGTTTGTGAATGAATCTCCGTTATGAACGACTCTTACACTAACCGACATTAGTACAAGTTTCTGGCAGCGCAGCATCTCATTGTCATATTTCTTTTGCATTGTTTGCTGATTTTATTCAACAAAACTAGCATAAGCCGAGTGTTTAGTGCGAGTTGGAGCTGCTTTGCCGTATGGTGAATGCAGTAAGTGACTGTCATCATCAATAACGTTACCTGATTAGCACAAAAGTTCAGAACAAATACAAAAACAGATAAAAACTTAATCTGACCTATGAAATGTTCTGCCTTTGTGCTTTGTTTTCTTTGTTTGCTCGTTACTACACCCGTAGACAGCGCTAAAGTCCCGCATCTTCACGTAATAACACTGTCTTGACTAGTGCGGTTGAATGACATTTGTCCGGGAAGCACTGTACCAATGTGGCGGCGCTATAGACGCATGCTCAGGGTCCCTATGCGATATTTAGTGTATATATCTATGTCACAAATTGAGGAGCGGGGAAAATAGGCGGGGTGGATCGACAACGTGGGGAATTCTTCACAAACTAAGGAGCGATCACAAACCGAAAGCCGCGAGAGCGTCAAAGTAGCCAGAAGTCATTCATTTTTTAACGAGAACCGGAGGCGAGAAACAGCGGCGCGTCTTCATTGGCTATGACGCGGTTCGGCGGCAAGCAATCAGAATGAAGTAGTCCACCGCTTGAGAGGAGTTCAGAGCACACAGACCTGTGAACTTTGGTTCCGACCACAGTTGTTCCCAAGAGTTGATTATTGCGGTTCCTGAATTTTCAATTATTGAAAATCGCGACGACGTGGGGCCCCCTAATCACGCGGGGCCCCCCCCGCGGTGCGTGCCCTGTGGGCCCGTCCGCTACGCCACTGGATAGATATTTAAGTATTGAATGAATTGCTGAAAAGTGCAAATTAGGAAATGTCTTGGAGAATAAATAAACGGCTATTTTTTATTTGTTGATATTATTTTGTTGATGGTCATGCCTTGTTTTTGAAATTTCTATAGAGTTGGATTCTGCACTCTGGACATAAAGTATTTTTTGGAAGATATTAAATATTGACTTGCTTTAAAGGTGCAGTAAGTTTGAAACACAGTGGTTGAAAGAGATATTGCATATAGAGCCAGATCAGTCTCAAAAATAATACATTTGCATTCATAAATGCACAGTTTATAAATCCACAACTCCAATTCATAAATTTAAAACAAAATTCATCAATTCAAAAGCAAAAATATATCCCAAATGCACACACATGCATCTTACCAGAATATATTTAAAATGTTTACACGGTTTTGTATATACAGTAGGAAGTTCTTGGATTACTTTCCTCGTGCATTTATGAATTATGCTAGATGTGATCATGAACCACTGAATGTGCATTTAAAACAAAACAACCCCTCATAATCTGTGGTAAAACTGTCACATTGCACAGCATGGAGCGAATGAATTTGCAGTGACCAGCAGACTTGCAGAGTAATGTTATTTCTCAGTAATAGTGAGTTCTGCAATGGAGTTCGCTGGTTTTTAGGTGAATTTGATCGTCGCCATGGAGTGCCGGTAAGAACACGGAGACTTGAATCCCATTTAAAGCTCTTTATTGTCCATCACACTTTGTGTATGTGTTTGGTGTGTGTGTGTGTTTGGTGTGTGTGTTTGGTGTGTGTGTGTGTGTGTGTGGTCTAAACAAAGGAAAGAAAATATACATTAATAAGTAAATTTAGATAATAAGGATAACAGTAACAAGTGGAAATACTTATACACAACACTAAACTACAATATACAATTATAACTGACATGCATGAGCAAAGCAGATGAAGCAAGGCAGATAAACGTATATAAAATAATAATTCTCACTATTAACAGGCTTTTAACTTAGGCGGAAATATAACAAAAAGCATGGATTTAATAGGCGATGTATGTATTATCATTTAAACCAATTATATTTACATAAAAGATCGCTACTACTAGCCGCGGCAGTCCGCGATTCTTTACGAGCTCGCGCATAAATCAATAATCTCAATACAATACTATAATGATAAAACAGTGGTAACAGGTATGTAAAAGATGCATAAACACTTACTTCTCATCATTGACGCACACAAAACTGACTGGAATTAGGCGGAAAGCAAAGCATGCAACCTTTCTCTCTGTCTGATCAGAATGAAACCAGTTAACAGTCTCCATATACAGCAGACCTAAGCTGCATTTTGATTGGCTGCCTGTGCTCGTGATCAGCGCATGATCAAGTACGAGCTCTATAGGAGTCTGTTTGTGCATGCACGCGTGAGGAGAGAGCACAGCTCGTGTCCAGCTCTGGGCTCAGCCCACCGACCTCTTTTACAAGTTCCATGATCTTATGTCATTCGCGAACGGCTGGATTTAATGCATTCAGTAGCAAATCTTACTGAACGAATCATTGATTAAATAAATGACTCTTTATATTCCATACACATGCGGCTGTTTGACACTATTCTCTGCACCTACAGAGTCCGTGAAGTCGGTCAAGTTTTTTCTTACCATTTGGTGTTTAGTATGAAAACAACACTCTTTCAGCAGTTCATAGTTGCATCCAATATCTCGTTTGTCACGGGGGGCATGCATGAAATGCTCCCGAAGTGAAACTGCAGTTAAAGTCGACAAATTAAAAATGAAATAACGCAGTGACGACATCAAATTATGAGCTATAATATGTCATCGGAATCATGAAAAGAACATTCAGAAGCAACTCATGTAAACACCTCAATCATATTAATGTCTTATTCAGATTAGGGCAAATCAGTCCGTAATTGGTGTCTGACACCAGTACAGTACAAGCGGTTACAAGCAGTGGTGTAAAGTAACTAGTTACAAATACTCAAGTTACTGTAATCGAGTAGTTTTTCTCAAGAATTGCAATTTACCAAGTAGTTTTATAAATGTGTACTTTTACTCTCCTTTGAGTACGTTTTTACTGCAGTATCAGTATTTTTACTCCACTACTGTCCTTTATCCTGCAGTCACTACTGTATTTATTGTCTATGGTAATTAGACAAATCAGTCCTTTAATTCCTGTCCAATCAAATCACACATAGAAGGTAAATCACATTATGATGAACTACCTCAAGACATGGGCGGGGCTTGAGTTCCTCATCAACGTCACGCTGGCATGACTTGAGACTTGTTACCGTGACGATTCATTCAAACTACTCTTAGTCAACTCTTTTATAGATGGATCAACAGTTTGAAACACGGTGCACTTTCAGATTTAAGCCTTAGCTGGATATTTCACTTTACACTTTACACTATATTTACAGAGCTGTGTTACACACTGCATGAAGATCATTTTCAAAAACCCTTAATAGAGGCTTTTTTAATCTGTTATTATTTTTTTTTTTTACAGAACAGGACAGCAGCAGCACAGACACCACTGGTAAACATATTATTCATTTTATTAAAATATATTCCATGTCATTTAAATACTGCATCACTAAAGGCATAATTAGCTCTGCTTAACAAGCATGCTGCTTTTTCTGCATTAAAAATGTTTGGTGGCTAAACTGTGGATGCCTCTTTATTTTTTGACAGAGTGTACCTCAATATTGCTGGGATTTATTGCTGACCATCTGAATAAAGAATTAACGGAAGGAGAGAATTGGTGACTCTGCAAACTTTCATTTCTGGACCTTCATTTTAAAACCTGTGAAGATCTCATTGAGCAGGTCAACATCAGTGTAGGGGAAAGTTACTCTTGAAAATCATGCATTACGATATTGACTTAATCCCTCCAAAAATTACCTAAATGCACTGCTTAGTTACTTTTTATGGTAAGTAAACTGTATTATTGTACTGTAAAATGCATTACTTTTGCGTTACTTTTTCTTACCTTTGCTGAGGCTTAATCTTGTTCAAAACTTGAAGGGGGAGGGGTTCCGTTTTTTTATAAAGTTTCACGAACCCTCAAGTACTTTTTTTTTTTTTTTGGAGATTTCAACAGATTTGTGTGTGTTGAGCATTAAGGCAATGTCTGTGTAGGAGCCATACATTGTATATTGGCGATTGGCCACAAGGTGTCAGTACGACACTATATAACTGTGGCTTCACTGCATGGAGGAAGACAGTGTTGGTAGGAAGCACACAGTTTTTGACCGTATCGTATTGCATCGTCTCGTAACTGAAGGAAACAGAGAAGTGTGCTTTTAGATAAAGGAAAGTGATTGAGTAATTCTGTTGATTGGAAGTTGATTGGACAATAAATATGTTTTTATTTGCATCTATTTGCTTACGGACTCTGACTTTTTACGCGTTAAAAACTTGCTCACTCTACCAACAATAGCGGCATTGGTAAGCCGCTACAAAGAAAAGTCAAAAACTTTGCTTCGTGGGACAATTGAGATGCCGCTGGAGTGGACAGCAAAGCATGGTGTTTCTACAGACAAGGACGGCCACATTCGTTTGGATCAAGGCTTCATTTGCTGCACGTGAGGACAGCGTTTCTTCAGCATCTGAGTGAGTTCGTTTGGATCTGCTTTCTTCTGGTTTCCTGCATTAAGGTGAATCTACGCTGCGTTCATCTCTTCGCGTTTGATAAACAGCACAATAGGTATGTTTGTTGCAACAACATCATCATCATTTTGGCCATATGGAAACTCTGTGTGCACACAATAAGGTTTAACAAGCGTAAATCCAATGCATTGGTTGCCCATGACTGACTGAACTTTTCTTATGTGTGTTTATTGGGTTTTACAATTTGCAAAATGGAAAATGAAATCAATTTGAATGTTGAAATGGTGAATGTGACTGATCAAGGTTTAACTTCTGTTGAAAATGAGCCTGAAAGGGAAAAAAGACCAGTTAAATTAACAGCTAAAGCTTTAGTTGAAAAACTAGACACTTTACAGAAGTTAAGAAAGGCAAAGCTAAACAAAGCACAAAAGCTAAAAGAGTCAATTAACAAACTAATGTGTGATGACAATGAATACAAACCTGAGATACGTTTGGTCTTTGAGGATTTTAAGAGGTTGTGTTCAGAGGCAAAAGACACTCATGAGTCACTTTTGGTTATTTTACCGGTTGAAGAGTGTGAAAAACATGATATCTGGTTTAAAGCAAAAATGATATCAAACAATGAGTTTTTGGAACGAACAAATAAATGGTTATCTGATAAACCAGATGGTCACAAAATATCTGAAGTGGAAAATCTAGAGAGTGATGTTGGTCCTGGAGATAGTGTGTCAAATGTATCACATGCTACCTCAAAACGCAGTAAATGCAGTGCACGCAGCAGCAGTAGTTCATCCATATCATCTGCATGTATTCAAGCAGAGGCAGAAAAGGCCGCACTCATGGCACGTGCTGCTGCATTAAAGGCTAAACATGGTATTGAAGTTCAGGAGGAAGAACTGAGAAGGAAAAAAGAGCAGTTGGACTTGGATGCTCAAATAGCAGCTTCCACAGCAAGGATCAGTGTGTTGCAGAAATTTGATCAACAAAGTAAATGTTCAAGCAGTTTATCTTCAAAGAAGATTGAAAAGGTTGTGGTCACTGCAAATTCTTCTTCTCAAACAACATATTTAAACCCCAATGCAAATGACTATGTCCCAATAAATTCAATGCCACTGGATTTGGATGGATACACTGGTGTTTCTGCTTCTCAAGCTGCAATACAGGATCAAAGGATTGGATGGATTGATCAACAAACATCGGAACATGCTAATGGTAACTGTTCTGCTCAAACACAACATGACTCCATAATTCAGCATGCTACAAATATCTTACCTGCACAGGGTGATCCTTTGCTTGAAATTCTGAAAAAACAGGAGGAATTAACAGCGCATCTTGTTCAACAGCAAGCAAATCCTCGTATTCTACCAAAGAAGGAAATTCCAACATTTGATGGTGACCCATTGCAGTATATTCCATTCATTAGAGCATTTGAGCATGGCATTGAGCAAAAAACAACCAATTTAAAGGATCAGTTGTATTTCCTTGAGCAGTTCACAAAAGGGCAGCCTAAAGATCTTGTTCGCAGTTGCCAATATATGTCTTCAGAAAAGGGCTATGCAATGGCCAAGAAGTTGTTGAAGGAACATTTTGGTAATGAGTTTAAGGTATCTACAGCCTATATGGAGAAAGCCCTGGGGTGGCCTACTTTAAAGGCTGAAGATGTGCAAGGATTGCAGGCTTATGCTTTGTTTTTGCGTACTTGTTGTAATACAATGGATGAACTCTCATATATGCAAGAACTTAACATGCCTAGCAACATGAAATCAGTGGTTATGAAGCTGCCTTACAAATTGAGGGAGCAATGGAGAGCTAAAGCCTGTCAGATAATGGAGTCTGTTCATGGCAGGCCAAAGTTCTGTGACATTGTTGAATTTATTGAAAAACAGGTTAAAATGGCATCTGATCCTGTTTTTGGTGACATTCAAGACAAGCATGGTGCAAGTAAACTTAAGGTTCAACCACACAAGCCCTTTACAAGAAGTAGTTTTGCTACTGACATTTCAACTTCTATTCCAGCAAAGAAGTTCAGTGATGCTTTAGCACAACCAAAATCTTGTCATGTGTCTAAGTCTAATGGAGACTGTTTGTTTTGCAAAAATCAGCATTTATTGGAAAGGTGCTTTGCATTAAAGAAAAGAACACAACGTGACAAGATTGAATTCCTGAAGGCCAAGGGAATTTGTTTTGGCTGTTTAAAAACTGGGCATAAAAGTAAAAGATGCGAGAATCGACTGAAATGTGACATTTGTGGAGAAACACACCCCACAATCCTGCATATTTATGGCAAAGAGGTAATACTGAAGCAGGCTGAAGAAAAGCGCAAAGATACATCTGTGCAAACTTGTGGTCACACAGGGGCCGGGACTGAAAGAACTTTAATGTCAATCATACCAGTTCAAGTCAAGTCCATTAAAAGTAACAAGGTGGTGCAGACATATGCTTTTTTGGACCCAGGAAGTTCGGCCACTTTCTGTTCTGAACACTTGCAGGAGGAGCTGAAGTTGAATGGAAAGAAGATTAATATTTTGCTTCGTACTATGGGTCAGGAAAAGTCTGTGTCTTGCAGTGTTATTGATGGTCTGGAAATCAGTGGTATTAACACTAATAATTTCTTTCCACTTCCTGCTGTTTACACACAACAGAAAATGCCTGTGAGTTCTCAGAACATCATAACTCAAGAGGAGTTATCCAAGTGGTCATACCTGGATAAAGTGAAGATACCTTGCATTCAAGCAGAGGTTGATTTACTGATTGGAATTAATGCAGCTAATGTGATGGAACCACACAAGATTATTAACAGTCAAGGTAATGGGCCTTTTGCCATTAAGACCCTATTGGGGTGGGTTGTTAATGGGACTGTGGAAGGAAACAGTGAACATAGGAATGAAGTTGGCCATTCTGATGTTACTGTTAACCGAATTTCTGTTGTTAGATTGGAGGAGCTGCTTAACAACCAGTTTAATCATGATTTCAATGAGAAGACTGTTGATGAAAAGGAAATGTCAAGGGAAGATCTTCAGTTCATGAGTATAATGAACAATTCAGTCAAGCTTCAGGATGGACATTACAGCTTAAGATTACCATTTAAGTCTGATGTCACATTACCAAATAATCTTGGTGTTGCTAAGCAACGGTTGCTTGGTTTAAAAAGGAAATTGGAAATAAATCAAGAATTTCATGAGAAGTATACTCACTTTCTTGAAGGTGTCATACACGAGGGCTATGCTGAGAAGGTACCTGATTGCCAACTTGATCGAGTGGATGGTAAAGTTTGGTACATCCCTCATCACGGGGTGTTTCATCCAAAAAAGGGATCATTGAGAGTGGTTTTTGACTGTGGGGCAGCATATAAAGGAACATCATTTAATGATAACTTATTGCAAGGTCCTAATCTTACCAGTTCTCTGGTTGGAGTTTTACTGAAATTTAGACAGGAGCCAGTAGCCTTTATGGCTGACATAGAAGCGATGTTTCATCAAGTCAGAGTTGCAGCAGAAGATGTAGATTTTCTTCGTTTCTTGTGGTGGCCTGGTGGAGAACTGAATAAGGAACCCATTACTTACAGGATGACAGTTCATCTTTTTGGTGCAGTGTCCTCTCCGAGTTGTGCATCCTTTGCTTTAAAGCAAACGGCAAAGGACAATGAAGGTGACTTTCCATTAGAGGTAATTGAAACGATCAACAATAACTTCTATGTGGATGATTGTTTGAAGAGTGTCTCTTGTGAAGAGAAGGCCATATCTATGGCAAAAGATCTCACTTGTCTTTGTCAGAAAGGAGGTTTTCGTTTGACAAAGTGGATCAGTAATAGCCGGGAGGTGTTACAATCGATCTCTCAGGAAAATCGTGCCAAGGATATACAGCAGTTGGATTTGGATCGAGACAAGTTGCCAGTTGAAAGAGCATTAGGTCTCCAGTGGAGTGTGGATGCTGACACTTTTCAATTCAAGATTTCATTGAAAACTCAACCTTGTACAAGACGAGGCATTTTGTCTGTGGTAAGCTCGGTGTATGATCCTTTGGGTTTCCTTGCACCTGTTATTCTGCCTGCAAAAGTCATCTTGCAGGAGTTGTGCAGAAAGACATTGGGCTGGGATGATACCATACCATCTGCCTTCCAGAAGCAATGGACTCATTGGATTGTTGAGTTGGACAAGGTTGCAGAATTTCAGGTAAACAGATGTTTTAAAACTGTGGATTATGGACTGCCCAGTCATGCTTGTTTACACCACTTTGCAGATGCATGTGAAACTGGGTATGGCACAGTTTCCTATCTGAAGATGCTGAACGGTGCAGACAAGGTTCATGTGTCATTTTTGATGGGTAAGTCCAGAGTAACACCATTGAAACATGTGACCATACCACGTTTAGAACTTACAGCAGCTGTCTTGGCTGTGAAGATGGACATCATGTTAAAGAAGATGTTGCAACTTCCATTGGAGGATTCTGTTTTTTGGAGCGACAGTACAACTGTTCTCAATTACATAAAGAACGAGAACAAACGGTTCCATACATTTGTCGCTAATAGAGTGTCATTTATAAGAGACGCAACACAGCCTCAACAATGGAGGTATGTACCAACTAAAGACAATCCAGCAGACGATGCATCACGTGGCTTGAATGTGGAATCTTTTTTGAACAATGAACGGTGGCTAAAGGGGCCTAGCTTTCTATGGAAGCCAAGTGATGTACAGTTCCATACAAGTGATTCGACATCAATAGATGATGATGATCCTGAAGTAAAAAGGGAATTAAAGGTAAATGCTGTGACACTGCAGAGCGAACAAAATGCCACATGCAAATTGATACATTACTTCTCAGATTGGAAACGTCTAAAGGTTGCAGTTGCATGGATTTTGAAACTGCAGAAACTTCTACTGCAGCTAAGTCGTAAACGAAAGGAGCTGTCTTTGGAGCATAGTGATGATGCAACCATGAATGCAAAATTGCAACATTTTAAATCATCTCTGGAACGACAGAGTTTGACTGTGGAGGATGTTTATAAGGCTGAGGTTAACATCATTCGTTTCAGTCAACAGGAACAATTTCAGGAAGAAATTGCTGCTCTTAAACATGATAACACTGTTAAAAGAAACAGTTCTGTCTATAAACTGGATCCTATGTTGCATGATGGAGTGCTGTTAGTAGGAGGAAGACTTGGTAAGTCAGCTATGCCAAGCGAAAGAAAACATCCCATCTTGTTATCTAAAAATCAGCACGTATCACATCTCATACTCTCAGACATTCACGAACAACTGGGTCATGGTGGCAGAAATCAAATGCTTTCTAAACTGCGTTGTAAGTATTGGATAACAAATGCCAATTCTGTTGCAAGAAAGATCATTTCTAAGTGTGTCATTTGTAGACGCTTTAAGGGAAAGCTGGGTGAACAAAGGATGGCAGACCTTCCAGTGGAAAGAATCACTCCTGATTTACCACCTTTTACTAATGTAGGAGTAGATTTCTTTGGGCCCATAGAAGTAAAAAGAGGACGTGGTACAGTGAAACGCTATGGAGTGCTATTTACTTGTATGGCAAGTAGGGCAGTTCATTTGGAAATGGCATACTCACTTGATACAGACTCGTGTATCAATGCTTTACGCAGATTTATCTGTCGTCGTGGACAAGTTTCTTCTATGAGATCTGATAATGGGACAAATTTCATCAGTGCTGAGCGGGAGCTAAAAGAGGCACTCAGTGCATTGAACAAGGAGAAGATTCAACGAGCCCTGCTACAGAAGGGAGTGGACTGGAGTTTTAACCCACCTTCAAGCCCTCATTTTGGAGGAGTGTGGGAACGTTTAATTAGACTGGTGAAACAAAGTCTGTGTGTTGTCCTTCGACAACAAACATTGGATGATGAAGCCCTGCAGACTGTCTTGTGAGAAGCCGAGGCAATTCTAAATGATCGACCCATCTCTAATATCTCCAACGACCCTAATGATTTGGAAGCTTTAACACCTAACCACCTTCTGCTTTTGAAAGGAAACCCTGCATTGCCTCCTGGTTTGTTTGAAAGGTCTGATTCATATGCCAAACGAAGATGGAGACAAGTGCAATATATTTCAGACCTCTTCTGGAAAAGATGGGTACGTGAATACCTTCCATTGTTGCAGAAAAGACAAAAATGGAACAAGGAACATCGAAATCTTACTGTTGGCGACATTGTGATCATTGCAGATTCTACAGCACCACGTGGATCATGGGTTCTGGGAAGAGTGATTGAGACTTTTCCAGACAGTAGAGGTTTAGTTCGATCTGTAAAAGTTCAAACCAAATGCAACATCTTGGAACGTTCAATTAGTAAGCTTTGCCTTCTTCAAGAATCAACATAGGAAAATTATGATATAACCAGTTAAACAGGTGTTTAAACTGAGGTTGTTTATTTGCATGCATGTATATTTGATACCATTTTGAGTTCATGTGTAAGGCTCCATATTGTATAAATTTGTAATTGTTATGCCATTTTGTCATAAACAATTAAGGGGCCGGTATGTAGGAGCCATACATTGTATATTGGCGATTGGCCACAAGGTGTCAGTACGACACTATATAACTGTGGCTTCACTGCATGGAGGAAGACAGTGTTGGTAGGAAGCACACAGTTTTTGACCGTATCGTATTGCATCGTCTCGTAACTGAAGGAAACAGAGAAGTGTGCTTTTAGATAAAGGAAAGTGATTGAGTAATTCTGTTGATTGGAAGTTGATTGGACAATAAATATGTTTTTATTTGCATCTATTTGCTTACGGACTCTGACTTTTTACGCGTTAAAAACTTGCTCACTCTACCAACAATAGCGGCATTGGTAAGCCGCTACAGTCTGTACCTGTCAGCTTTAACTGTGGGGTAAACTTGATAATTTTGAGCTTTTGTCAGCTAATTTCAGCTTCCGGGTTTAAAATGATTCTTGGGGCGGATCAAAATGACGTAGCGCAGTACTGCAAGTGCAATGATGACGCGTCGGTTTCTCATTATTATTCATAGCGGAGTTTTCTTATCCTATGAGAAGATCCGGCTTCTTAATTATTCATGATTATTCACTGCCAAGCTGAGACCCTAAAGTAAATAAAAAAATTAAAATAAAGAAAATTTTATATATATATATATATATATATATATATATATATATATATATATATATATATATATATATATATATATATATATATATATATTAGGGTTGGGCATCTAAGCTATAATGCTGATCCGATACGCATCTCGATACAAAGAATACGATCCGATATATTAGTGATATATTTGTGACATATTGCGATGCAACATGATACGATTCACACCCATATCACGATACAATGCGATAATTCAGCACTAACTAATTAGATCAAGTTTATGAGATGATGTGAAAGAGGATGCTGTGCCATTGAATGAGTTTGATTATTTATAATATATATATATATATATAATTTATTTTTTTTGATGACAATTGTTGCACGGCAAGGTTCATTGTATGAGTGTTTAGTGTATCATTTGGGATGCAATTGTGGCTCAGTACTGATGGAAATGAACAACATGTATTAACTTGGAGCAAATGTAATGTCTGTTACTGTTTTATCTCCATGATCACCACAGTTTATGCGTGTCATTGTCAGCTCTGCTTAGCAGCAAACCCCTTCCTGTGGTGTTTCCTTGATTGACTCAACAGAGAGCTGAAGGTGGAGATAGATAGATAGATAGATAGATAGATAGATAGATAGATAGATAGATAGATAGATAGATAGATAGCACTTCACTTTTTCCTCATTTGTTTATCTTCCAGTTTTATTCCAAAATGGATTAAATTGATTGATTTCCTCAACATTCTACACACAATCCCCCATAATGAGAATGTGGAGAAAGAGTTTTTGAAAATGTTTAAATTTATTATATATAAAAGCTGTTAAGTCACATATACATCAGTACTCACAGGCTTTGCTCAACACTTTGTTGATGCTCCTTTGGCAGTGATTACAGCCTCAAGTCTTTCTGAATATGATGCCACAATCTCTGCACAGCTGTCTTCGGGAATTTTTGCCCGTTCCTCTTTGCAGCACCTCTTAAGCTCTATCGGGTTGCATGGGAAGCGACGGTGTACAGCCATTTTCAGATATCTCTAGAGATGTTCAATAGGATTTAGGTCAGGGCTCTGGCTGGGCCACTCAAAGACTTCACCAAGTTATTATGAAGCTACTCCATTGATATGTTGGCGGTGTGCTTTGGGTCATTGTCCTGCTGGAAGATGAAGCGTCGCCCCAGTCTGAGGTGGAGAGCACTCTTGTGCAGGTCTTCATTCAGGATGTCTCTGTACATCGCTGCTTTCATCTTTCCCTCTATCCTGACTAGTCTTCCAGTTCCTGCTGCTGAAACACATCCCCACAGCATGATGCCAACACCACCATGCTGCACTGTAGGGATGCTGTTAGCCTGCTGATGAGCGCCGCCTGCTGTTCTCCAAACGTAACGCCTGGAGTTCACTTCAAACAGTTCAGTTTGAGTCTCATCAGAGCAGAGAGTTTAGTTTCTGATGCTCTGAGAGTCCTTCAGATGGTAAACTCCAGGCGGGGAGTGTCTTCCGTCTGCCCGCTCTACCATACAGATGCCTGATTGGTGGATTGCTGACAGATGGTTGTCCTTCTGTAAGGTTCTCCCTCTCTCCACAGAAGAACGCTGGAGCTCAGACAGAGTGATCATCGGGTTATTGATCACCTCCCTGACTAAGGCCCTTCTTCCCCGATCACTCAGCTTAGATGGCCGGGCAGCTCTAGGAAGAGTCCTGGTGGTTAAACATCTTCCACTTACAGATGATGGAGGCCGCTGTGTTTACTGAAACTTTCAGAGCAGCAGAAATGTTTCTGTAAGCTTCCCCAGCCTTGTGCCTCCAGACAATCCTGTGTCGGAGATCTACAGACAGTTCCTTTTTCTTCATGCTTGGTTTGTGCTTTGACATGCACTGTCAACCCTGGGCTCTTATATAGACAGCTGTAGCCTTTTCAGATTATGTCCATCAGCTGAATTGAGCACAGGTGAACTCCAATGAAGCTGCTGAAACATCTCCAGAATGACCAGTGGAAACAGAATGAACCTGAGCTCAATGTAGAGCGTCACACTGAAGGCTGTGAACACTGATGTACATGTCATTTATCAGCTTTTATTTTGAATAAATTTGCAACAATTTCAAAAACTCTTTTTCCACATTGTCATTATAGGGGATTGTGTGTAGAATGTTGATGAAATTGTGTATAACAGTGTCATAATAAATACAAGATTACATGTTTAAAAATAATTTTAAATCGCTTTTATATCGCATATAGGCAACCATGTGCCTTGAGTAAAAGGTGTTTCATTGCGCGTTTGACACAAGTGTGCCGCAAGCTTGCTTTTGAGTGAAGGTCTTGGCCGTTAGATCGCCCCCTGGGGGCTGGCTGCAGTACAGATCATTAAGCCCGCCTCCTCCGTGTGAATGAAGGAGACTTGAGCCCATATTTAAAAATTACCTACACTTGCAATAAAATGTCTCGAAAGATGGTTCTGGTCAATTAAGATTATCAGCTGATCTAGGTGCAGATCTTTATTTTTCTAAACAGTTTGTTTTTAGCCAGTAATTTAATGCTATCTGCTTGTTAAGTGTGACGTCACGCGGAGCGGCTTTCGGGTCGAAGTGCTCTGTTCAACTGAATGGGGAGATTCATGAAATGGTAATAATAAACGTTTACAAAGCGATTTAATACTTTTGAAAGTCACGATCGCAATATATATGTCCATGCCTAATATCCAACGGCCAGAAAGTGATTCATTGTTTTATAAATTGTTAAAATTTTGTTTTTTGTTCTGCAGCAAGCCCAGAGATTGTTGTGTACACTATAACTTTATATAAAATTAACTTTAATGTGCGATATTAATAAAAAGTGATGATGAACGAATGATTTCTCCACTCAAGTGAGTGATCCCGATCCCGAAAAGTGATCTTGGACCCGGAAACAGTATTACATACGTCACAAACACGTCATCATTTAACAAGCGGATAGACCTTTTTCTTGGCAGCTACATGTAGGGTGCCATAGGGACCAGCGTCTTCCGGTAGAATGGTTAGAACTTCCGTTTACAGTGTTTACAATAGGTAATTTGCGCTCCGAAAATGGGTTTCAATAGTGCTTTACGTGGATTACAGAGTGTTTTTGTCACACGCAACTTAGAAAGGTGTGTGTTAAAGCCGTTATAATCTATCTGATGTGGTTCAAACGCGAGAGAAAAACGTTGTCCTAGTTCACGTGTCTGCTGTCAGAAATAAAATTCGTGTGTGTTTCCCCGGCCTGTCAGCTGTTAGCTCAGCAGCTCTTCAATACACACACATACACACACACACACAATACATTTTAGAAACCGAATCTTATATAGGCAAAGAAAAAAATACAAGCTTCTAAATTTATTGTACAAATTGATCAGGGTTATTTTATATAGTGCTGGAATGTGTAAATATGCTGTTGATATTTAGTAACATTGCTGTATCTTTTGCTAATATAAATGATTTTTTCCCACTTGGCAAATAGCTGTCCATGATGTATATTTTGGGTGATTGATAATTAAAATTAAAAGTCTTTCTATAAATGTACGTGTTGTTTATATGTTATTAATATTTTACAAGTGTTATTTCTACCCCTGTGAAGATAATAAATACTAACAACCCTGTTATAAGAGAATATTTTTTGTGCTGATATTAGTCTACCTCAGAGTGTATAAAAGAAGTTCAACAAGTATTGCTTTTATTAAAGTCTAACAGCTTACATCACATAGTTTTTAAGTCATATATTATTACTGTTTTTTTTAATGTAAGTGCCTATATTTATATTAGTGAGCCTTTGTTATAGTGCAGATACCGGCGTTCAAGTGAGCAGTTCGGGGGGCGTGGTTGATTTGATGTACAAGCCTTTGGTTGGAAGCTCGATTCTGTAGCTCCGCCTCTGGCTCCATCAGGCAGTCCTTTTGAGCGTTCCCAGGCTCCAATTTCAGCAGTGTATTGCGACAGTTTGTGCCGTCATGAGGTGTTTTGCCTTCAAAGCGTTTAATAGGTAAAGGCGCTGTTCCAACGATCATATTTTTTAAAGTCATTGACATCAACCCATTGAAAAGCAACAGTGTATAACAGTGTCATAATAAATAAAAATATTGTTAAAAATCACTTTTTTGTCGCATGTGGGTAACCATGTGCTGTTTGTAAAAGGTGCTTGATTGTGCGTTGGACCTGATTGGACCCCGTTGGATATGATTCGAACTATAAAAACAGGTAAAAAGTTTTAACAAACTACAAAAATGGCTGATACCCGAGTCCAACTGTCAAGTTAAGATGCTAATAAAGATGTTTTAATTGACCCTTTTCACAATGACGTCACTTCACTCCCCCTATCGGCACCGCAGTGTATTTTTAGTTCAGGTTTAGCTTTGAATGAATGGGAGACTTCCTCTGAAAAATAAAAATATTAACATTGCACAATCTGATTTAAGACTATTACGATACTGGGCATGTGTTCAAACGTTTCTCTTTCAATACTGATCTGCTTTTTGAGTTAGAAAATGATTCTCTAAATTATTAAGAATAGAAATAAGCTATTGTTTATCAAGGAAAGTCTATGTTTTAGTGCTGCATCAAACGATTATTTTAATAATCGATTAATCTGTCGATTATTTCTTCGATTGATAGATGAATCAGATTAAAAAAACAAGAAAAGCATTAATTTCCAACCC